ACTGCTCTTAGCCATTTCGCATGGGAAATGTGTCCCCACGTCGTACAGTCCATTAGCTACATGGGAACGGGTTGGGTCGCACCCTCCATAGGAGGACTATGTGGGCGTAGGCGTACTCAGCACACCCCTAGGCTAGGTACCATGTAGTCCTAGATAGTCATGTAGAGGTAGCACCTCATAGAGAGATACCGACCACATTAGCTTGGCATAAGAAACCTCTAGGTGACTAATGAAAGGACGATGAACCGGTGAAACCCAAAGGGCAAGCCCCAAGAGACTAAGGTTAGAACCCGATGTCCTAGAACCGAATTAGGAAACCGTGGGAGTTCTGTTAAATTAAGATGCGAAGAGAGCCTACAAGTAGGTGGCTTACTGAGTATAATTTTTATACTCATCCCGTTCTCCTTTATTTTTCTCAAGTGTTCGCTGGCTGCTGGTCGAGGTAGAGGAGAGTTTGAGAGCTGTACAGTCACAGAGGGGGTCGTTCCGGAGCGTCAGTCCCTTTTCGGTCTTTTAGAGTCTTTGTATTTCATTTTATATTTGCAATTTCTTTTGTAATAATTAACCAACAAAATTTCTCTTTTTTGTTTTAATTCAATAGTATTTTTATCTCTTTTTACTTTGCTTTTCTTTTCTTTTATTTTCCTTTTGTTTGTTTTTTATTTCGTCTTTTTAGTCACGATTCGGTTTTTCGAAGCCTCGAAAAATCGGGTCGTGACAATAGTGGAGTGACTTATAGTTAATGAATGAAAATTGATTAATTAAAGAGTTTAATTAATTAATTTTATATCATTAGAGGTTATAATTTGTTGGTCCATAAGGTCCCCTTGCTAGCTCATAGTAACACTAAAAGATTCAATTTATTTGAAAGAAAATTTGAAGGGTTCAAATTGATATTTAATATATTAGATATATTAAATATAAAAGAGAAAATAAATTTAATTTGAAATGTCAAATAATATTTAATATATTAGATATATTAAATAAATAGAGAAAATATATTTAAGTGGAAGGATTCCGATTAACCTTTAATATATTAGATATGTTAAATATAAATGGAGAAAAATATATTAATACGAACGGTTCAAATTAATATTTAATATATTAGATATATTAAAGGAAAAATATATTTATTGTATTTGATACAATTAAATATTAAATCAATACTTTAAATAAAAATATATTTGAACTTGGAATAAAATTCAAACTAGTTAAATATATATTAGGATATCTTGTAAATATGATTGGGATAAGATATTATATCTTAATAAATTAAATATGCAAATATATTTTTTGGCAAATATTCTCATAGAGTCCCTATAAATAGGACCCTTGTGTTGAGCAAAAAAATATATGAATCTCTCCCACTTTCTATGGAGAACAAAATTACATCTCCAGAGAATTCTCGAAACTCTTCTTCTTCAATCCCTTTGGGATTTTCTTTCAAGAGGCTCCCACAAGCTTTGACCTTGTGTTCGAGTCATAGCAAGGAAGATCTCATGGAATGTTGACGAACATTTGCATGATAGGAATACTTCGGAGTCTTCTAAGCTAGGGTTTCTACAAAGGTAGAGTTCTCTCTCGTATTTATTGCTTTTCTTTTAATTTTTAATAAAATCAAAACAGTTCCCAATGCTTCCACTTTGTGGATGAGAGTTCATTCCTTTCACAAATATTCAAGATTTCATGTTGAACAGAGTAAGTTTGGAACCTACACCAAGTAAGGGTTCCTTTCACAAATATTCAAGATTTCATGTTGAACAGAGTAAGTTTGGAACCTAAACCAAATAAGGGCCTAATAAACGCTGAAAGAAGTACCTCAAATAACTCTTACTCAAGATCTAAGATTCATTCTAAAATAATCTAAAGAATACACTACGAATAACTCATGTTTGTTACTATGTTCTGTAGAGCTTAAGAAGGTCAATGCATGCATGTTATCTAGGGTAATGTGTGAATGATGTATAGGGTTGTGTCATAAGAATGATTTAAAGATTAAAATTACCTCATGCATTTTGTGTGTACATATACATTGGGTTACTTCTTCAATGATGAGTACAGGTGCCTACACGATGATGGTGATCATCATCATAACCCGCGTGACACTCAGGAGTATGCTGACCTATGGACGTTGCTATGGACAGCTAGCTTGATTATGGTGGGTCCAGGGGAGGTGCAAATCGGGATCCACACTCGCACGTGTGATTCGTGTGTAGGGAAGTACTATACATCCAACTTATCTAGATTGGAGGCCAACCCTATGTGGTTTTAACGATAGGTCTCTAGATCATGAGTTGCATGTGTTTGTATTCTCTGACTTCAATAGTGAGGTCACTTATTGAGTATTTCTTAAAATACTCAAGCCGTGTGTTACTTCTATTTAAAGTAAAGGCAAGACACCCCTGTACGACTGACGATGATATGACACGTGCATGAAATAGTGGTATTATTTTCTTAGTTTTAGGATAGTACAGGGTGTTTTTACTTTTAATGTTTTACTTCATTTATTATTATTTTTTCATGTTGTTTGAAAGATGTTTTTCGAACATATAAGTTCATGACAATGTTCTAAAATGAATTTTTAAATGTTCAGTTCCACATAAGAGATAGACTATGATAACGGTTGTGACTTTAGGTTAGTAGAAATCTAGGGTCGTTATATGACCCAAAACTCTAGCAGTAAAATATGAAAGATGACCTTAATGATAAACTTAAAAGAATTCAAGAGATTCCATGAACTCAAGATCTAGAGCCAGGACAAATATAATATCATTATTGACTCAGCTCACGAGGATGATTTGTTACAAGAATAAGATACATTTACTTTAGGGTTGATGATTTGTTACAAGAATAAGATACATTTACTTTAGGGTCATTGATTCTAAGCATGTCATGAATATGGAGTGTTACCGGTACGCATTACCCTAAAGTTAACTCATAAGATTATGGCAAAATTTGCCATCCTTATTTATATTTTATACTCTTGGATGTACATGCACTTGTATGATTTCTTGAGGTGTGAATTATGATGTATTATAGAGCATGATTTCTGATGTTTTGTTCATGAGATTTAGGTTGTATTAGCGTCATAGTCACTTTTGGTTGGTGATATCTAATTGTAGCTTTATCACTATAATAACCTTTGGGTGATGATAACCAACAAACTGTAATTGCAAATTGATTATTTCATGATTACCTTCATAGTCACCTTCGTTAAAAAAACAAATTGGTGATGATTATATTATTAGCTATTATTACATGGTCATAGTGATGAAAATGATTTTATGGAAAGGCTATCACTAAGGTCCTTTTATTTTGGTTGATATAACTATATAAATGTTTGCGAATGAGACGGGAGTATCTTACTTAATATTTTTAATACTCACCCGACAGTCAAAATAGTTTTCTAGTAAATTCATTATTGTGGAATTAGAGTTTTAGGTTTTGAAATTAGACCAAAATATTTTAGGAAGAAATGTTACACTTTGGTAAGAAAAACAAAAAAGAAAAGCAAATAAAGGATAGAAGTTTTGATTGAGCGTCAAGAATGGGAAAAGCAAATAAAGGATAGAAGTTTTGATTGAGCGTCAAGAATGGTTAGTTTTCGAATTTTAATCGAACTTTGAAGGAGTTTATTTCTTTCCATAGTTAACAAAATAGAAGGAAATCAACTTTTTTTTCATTGCTCTCTGTTTTTTTTACAGCACACACTCTGCATAAATTTTGTTTAATTAGGTGAAAATCATTGATACCAATTTGAATGATACCATAAACTCACTTAATTTCCATTCACAAAAGTAACAAAAAAAAAAAAATTCTCTATGGAATTGATAATTTACTTATTACTTGCTACTTGTGATAGTGGATACTTGCACTTTTTCTTTTGGATTTTACACCAATTTATTATATACATTACCGACGATCAAGTTTTTGGCGCCGTTGTCGGGGAACCTAATGTAGTTACTTGTTTTAGATTATACTGAATTTGTGCACAAAAAAGAAGTCATAGTAAGCTAAATATTTTGCTACTGAACTTATTTGCTAAACTTACTGCATGAGTGTATGAACCCACCTACCGGTTCAAAATTTATTTTGGATCTCGAAATAAAGAGAACCTTTAGGTAAAAGTTGAGGTATTAAAGGTTGAGAATGACAACACAAAATATACAACAAATAGACCTTGGAGCCCAACTAAATCAGGAGTTTCAAAATCCAGTTGTGATGGCTAATCGAGAGAGAATCACTCTTTGTAACAACCTAAAATAATGATAATATGTATTTTGTATTTATGTGTTGTGTGTTTGATGATGATGATGATAATAATAATAATAATAATAAGAATAATAATAATAATAATAATAATAATAATAATAATAATGATAATAATAATAATAAATAAATAAATTAAAAAAAAAATCGAAACGAAGCAGCTGCGTCAAGCAGCTGCTGTAAAGGGTGATGAGGGGCGGCGGACGCATAGGCTGGAGCCGTGGGATGGATGAGTGGATGATTAGAGGATGTGGAAGCGTATTAGGGCTTGATTAGGCTTTAAAAAGGAAGAAAAACGAAGAATGGCGATTAGCAAAAAACCCAGAAAAACAGAGGAGGAAATTTTTGAGAATTCGAGTTTTGGTTGCTTAAAATTGGACATCAATCGAGGGTAAAGGAAGAGGGGTTGTTGCTGAGGAATCATTTGAGGAAGGGGATACGGCCACGAGCTGAATCGGACGGTGATTCGAAGGTAACGAAAAACCCATATCACCGAACCTTTAAATCTCGATATCTTGATTCATACTGCATAATAAGTTATGAAATAAGGCTTGTTAGAACCGTAGTTAGAAGATCTATAAAGTTGTAGAAGAAATTAGAACGAAATTCGAGCTGTAGAGATGAAATTTTTGCTTCGGGACACAACGGATATTAAAGGAAAAGATTGGGAAAAATTGCAGGGAGGAGAGGTTGAAGACGAGCGTGTGAAGGACACGCGAGGCGCGTGGAGGCCGCGAGTGGAAGTGCGATTGTGCGAGGATCAGGCGCGTGAGAAACGAACCCCGACCTTGTGTTGGCGCGTGAGGGCGCGTGAGCAGGTATTTTGGCTCCTGGTTTGTCCCGTTTGACTCCTTTTGACCTGTCCTATCAAAATTGGTCTATACTTATGTTGAAATTAATAAAATATAGGTCTAATAGAAAGGAATTGTGTTGAAATACTATTAAACGTACATTCAAGGGGGAAAATGAGTTCGAAACCAAGTAAGTAGCATATCGATCTATGAACTAGTTCTTAACTTGTTTTACAACATGTGAGTATGTTGTTTACCTGATTAAGAGCTTAGTATGTTATGATGAGCTTTGATGATATTGAGTGTTTATTGTATATTGTGACTGCTTGCCTGTGATGTAAGCATGATATAAATGATTGTCAGAATGTTCTATGTGTTGAACATGATACATGTATGAAAGCATGCAGTAACTGTGAGTATGTTATGCATGTTAATGGAAAGGTTATGACTCTAGATATGCTTATTGGTTGTTGAGCTATGGCTTATTTATATGAGTATGATAGTCTACTAATTCCCGCGGAGTTCCTGGCCAACGCGCTGTGTGCTAAGTCAGGGAGCATGAGTACTCCTGACCGTTGGTATATGAGATAAACAGGCCGCCCAGAGCAATTAGTAGACGGGCCGTATTTGACCGAGAGCGAGTCTTACATACGAGTCCGAAAATTCTAGATAAGCATATCGAAGGAGAGTCAGTAACCTAGCTGGAGGTAGCTGAGATACCTCATTAACGAACAGATGACCCTAGTAAGAGAACTAGGAGTCAGTGATGAATAAAGCTTAAAAACACCTGGAAAGATTAGTTATGAACCCGTGAATGATAAGCTAGCTAATTACTGAGTAATCTAATTACTCATCAAAATTATTATAACTTTTCTTTCCAGATTTAGATGATGCAGGCCAACCGAGGACGAGACCAGCGGGCTAGAGACTACTGGGAATCCATGTCTGGGTCTGTTTATGTAATTATGTTTTCGTTGTCAAGAATTTACTTCGGTCGTTTTAAGTTTTTTTAAAAAGTACTGTTTTTTTAAATGTTTTACTGGATGTTTTTTTTAGAAATATTTTGAGATTATGATTGAGTGTTAGAGTATGTTGTCGTTGATGATGGTAACTCCTGTTAATCACGTTGACGATGAGCGGGTGTTACACTATTAGTGCTATTCATATAACAGATGAAAGAGAAAGCAAATGACAGAGAAAAAGCAATTAGAGCATATGCACACCAAGCTGTGGAAGAGCTAAATCGGTACAATATCAAACCAGAAATGCAAGCAATTACTTTTGAGATAAAACTCATGATGTTCCAAATGTTGCAAGTCATTGGACAATTTCATGGACTACTATTAGAAGAACCCATCTATATCTAAAGTCAATTTTTGGGAGTTAGTAACTCATTTCAATTCAAAGGAGTGGATAGGTTTATTCTCTTATTCTTTGAGGAATTATGCTAAATCATGATAGAATACTTAGCACCACAAACAATTGATTCATGGAATAGTCTAGCAGAGTCATTTTTTATCAAATATTTTTCACCCACTAGAAACGCATGGTTCAAAAATGAGATTGTTTATTTTCAATAGTTTGAAGATGAAACACTAAGCGAAGCTTTGGAGAGATTCAAAGAGATTCTTAGAAAGTGTCATCGGCATACATTACCCATTGTATCCAAATGAAGACTTTCTACAATGGAATGAATATTGCTACTAAACAAGTAGTGGATGCTTCCACCAATGGAGCTATTTTGTCAAAGACATATAATGAAACTTATGAGATTCTAGAAAGAATAGCATCTAACAATTGTCAATGGGCGATGTGAGGAGAAATCTAGAAAAGAAGACACGAGGAGTACTTGAAACTGATGTCTTGACCACTATCAACGCTCAATTAACTTCAGTGACTAATATTCTACAAAATTTAGCATTGGGATAAGGCTCAATCACTAAAGCACTAGTCCAATCTACTACTAAAATGTCCCAAATAGCAACCGAATCTTGTGTATATTGAGGAGAGGGACACACTCTTGATCAATGTCCAAGTAATCCGACTTCAATTTCTTATGTGAGGAATCAAGCTAGTCAAGACAACAAAAAATTCAACCTAAAGAAATTCCAAATTTTTCATGGAAGGGACAAAGTTCCTATAATAAAAAAAATTCAACGTAAAGAAAATTACCATCCAAGTTTTGGACTAAAAAATCAAATGACATATGATCCTTAACAAGCCAACACTAAAGGGAAAGGATTTAGCCAAGCACAACCTATACCGAGAACATCTCTTGAGAGCCTAATAAAGAAATATATGGCCAAAAATGATGTGATACAGAGTCAACAAGCATGCTTGCGAAATTTGAAAATTCAAGTAGATCGATTAGCAACTTACTTATGAAATAGACCTCTTGGAAAGCTGCCAGTAGATACCAAAACACCAAAAAGAGAAGACAATGAGTAATGTCAAGCAATATAATTGAGAAGTGAGAAAGAAATACTCAGTATGGGAGAAAAATTAAAGAACATAGAGAGTTACTTTCAAGAAACTGCTAAACATAGAAGCAAAGCAAAAATGCAAAAACAGTGCAGTCTCCTAAAATGCAAACAACAGTCAGCAGTGAAGAAGAGAGTAGAACATAAATATAAATACCAACACCTCTTTCTCCACAAAGAATAAAAAGAAAGAAAGAGGAAGCCCATTTGAGAAGTATATGGATATTTTGAATGAAATTATATAAACATATCATTAGTGGAGACTTTGAAGCAAATGCCAAATTATCTGAAATTCTTAAAAGATGTGTTCACTAACAGAAGAAAGTTTGAAAAATTCAAGGTGGTGGCACTAAATGAAGAGTGTAGTACAATATTGAAAAATAGGATCCCACTAAAAGAAAAAGACCCAGGCTCATTCACCATTCCCGCATCAATTGGAGAAAAGGAGCTAGGTAGAAGATTATGAGCATCAAGTTAATGGCTCTGTCCATGTACAACAAGTTTGTAACGACCCAAAAAAAGAATAATAATAATTAAAAAATTAAAATAATTAAAATAATAATTTTCCTAAACTACTCTCCACTGACCCCTCTTCCTCTCCCAACTATCTCTCCTCAACCAACTGATCGATCAAAAACCCCAAATCAGAATACAGGATGCATCGGTGGTTCCTACAATTAAAAAAAAAAAGAAAAAAAACCTACCAACAACTAGATTTAGAAGGAGAGCTGGAGATTTAATTATTGGAGAGAGATCCTGTTGTTATTACCATAAGTTATATTTTAGATCTCTAATCTCTTTTTCATTTATCCAAATTAGATTTCCTTTTCTTTTGTCTAATTATTTAGAATTAGATCTCTCGTTCTCTTTTCTACTTATTTAGATTTTTGGTTATGATGTTAGGTCATAGAAAATAACTAAAAAAGCTGAGGCAAATATTTGTCAATAGAATAAAAGAAAATATAGAACCGATAGAAAAATGGAAGATAGGAGGTAAATACAAAAACAGAGAGAAAAGAGAAGAATGGGAACAAAAAAAAAATTAACAGGTAAATAAGAAAGGAAAGATTTGGAAAGAAAATTTATCTAATTTTAGATTTTAACGAAATTAAAGGAAGAAAAAAAAAATACATGTAAGATAAAGGAAAGATTTGGAAAGAAGAATTAATTATAATAAAAAAAATGAGAAGACCTCTAGAGGCCAGAATACTGCTAACAAAATCAAAAGAAAAGACAAAAATATATATATATATATATATATATAGATAAGAGGCAAAATACTGTAAACAAAATCAAAAGGAAAGAGAGAAAATTATAAATCCAGGGAAAAGAAAAATAAATAAATAAAGAGCAGGAAGTAAAGGATAAAATCGGGAGAGCATGAAAGAAGTAAAAGAGAAAATACAGAAAAGAGAGAAGGCATATAGAGAAAAAAAAATAGAAAGGGCACTAAAAGAGAAAATAGAGAGAAGGCCAGAATACAAAATAAAAGGGAAGAGTTCGGGAGTAAGAATCGATCGGAATTGACCAATAATATGATTAAGTAAGAATCGATTAAAAATTGGTCAAGAATACGTCTTGAACAAAAATGGAGAGAAAAAGCAGAGTACAGAAAGAATATCAAAAGACAAGAGAGAAGTCACTCGAAATAAAAAATAGAAAATGAAATCTTAATATAAATAGAATATATATATAATATGTGTATATATATTTAGAGGTATATTATAACGTTCCAAGACTTTATCCATGCGAAGTCTTTAATGCTCGCATGAAGTTTATCACATGACCATTGTAAGAGTTAAAGAATTGAACATGAAATTGATGCCATGGATTCTTATAGGTTGGCTTGGATACAAAGGGAAAAATCAAACTTTCATTAAAGATAAATTTGTGACAACCGTATAAGCTAATCAAGTAAGTGGTCTTACTATAGGATAGGCTAAAAATTGTATGAGTTATGTATGAATTATGTTGTACGATAAGGTATATGAGTTATGATGATGTGTGGGTTACGATACTTGATGATGTATACAATATATATATATTTTGATGAATGACGTACTTGATATGTTTGATGCACTTTGTGGCAATATGATGAGTATGATGATTGCATAATGTTTACCTTAATATGATGATGTTTTCCATATTGAGCATGCTATATGATGATGAGTGCCATATTGCATCATGTCGTTAGATCGACATCGGACACAACCCTAAGAGCGTGAAAATGATATTAATATAAATATCCACAAGTATGTGTTACTTAGAGTAACAAAGAGATGAGACTAGAGGGTTGTGTCAGAAGAGACATTATGATGGATTTAGAGGGACCTCATGCATATTATATGTTCATAAGCATAGGGCTACTTCCCCTAGAGATGATGAGTGCGCACCATATGATGAGTGCAAATGTGCACAGGTGCGAATGCACACAGATGAGGGTGTTCATGAGGCGCATGACACTATGAGGTTCCGCTGACCTCCGGATGTCGCTACAGATTAGCTTGACCAGAGGGTCCAGGGGGTGTGCGAGCGCCCTGGGGATTCACACTCGCACGTGTGAATCGTGTGTAGAGAAGTACTACACATCCAATTTGTCCAAGACTGGAGGCCACCCCTAAGATGATTAGAGATAGGTCCCTAAATCCTGATTGCATGTGTTTGCATTTGCATGGCCCCTATAGTGGGGCCACTTACTGAGTATTCTTTGAAATACTCAGGCCGTGTGCCACATCATTTTTCAGGTAAAAACAAGGCGCACTTGTACGGAGGACGGTGGCATCGCGAGCAGAGACTGTGGCACGTGCATAGGGTAGATTCACATTTAAATTTCTAGTCTTAAGTTAGAATAGGTTGTTTTGCATTTCATTGTTTTAAATTATTTTGTATTTGTTTTTGTTTTCTCTAAATTTCAGTATTTCATATTTAAACACGTAAGACCATGGCTGTGTTTTCCAGATGAAGAGTTGTTTTAAACGTTTTTTGAAGTTTACGTTATAAATGATGTTCATGTAAGAGTTATATTTCCGCTTTATATATGAGCATGAGACGTTAGTGGCGACTCTAGATATGTGAAAATTTAGGGTCGTTACAAAGTTAGAGATTGGAGAGGCTAGATCAACTACGGTCACCATTCAACTAGGTGAGAGGTCCATCACTTCTCCCGAAGGAAAGACGAAGACATTTTTATTCAAGTTAATAAATTATTATTTCCAATAAATTTTATTATTTTAGACTACGAAATGGACCATGATGTATGGGTTATTTTGGGGAGATCATTTTTAATGACTGGGAGAACACTAGTACATGTTGAAAATGGAACCATAACCTTAAAAATGGGTGACAAGAAAGTCAAATTTAATATCAATAACAACATGACATATCCTGTTGTAGCAGAAGAATGCTTAGTAGTTTATGAGTTTATAGAGCAACCAACAATGGAGGAATGAGATAGTTAGGAATGTGAGCAGGAGGAAAAGAGCCTGTTTGAGTAAATCCACAAAATAGTTAACGGTTTTAAATGAATTTAGCAGCACTTTTGAGACACTAGAATAAGTCAACCGATGAAGCATCTATGGAAAAAGCACTGCAGCTAGATTTGAAACCAGTACCTCCTAACCTTAAATATTCGTATTTAGGTGACAAAGAGACACTATACATCATCAGCTCAAGAACATTATCATGAACCCAAGAGGATATGATCCTAGAAGCGGGTTAAGAAGCATAAGGGGGGCGATAGGGTGGACATTGGTGGATATAAAAGGAATTAGTCATTCACTATGTCGGCATAAGATTCAATTGGAGGAAGGAAAATTCAAATCCATTAAGTAACAAAGACGGTTAAACCAATGATGAATGAAGTTGTTAGAAAAGAAATTATCAAATGGCTAGATGTTAGAATACTATATCCAATTGCAAACGCATTGGGGTTAATCCTATTCAATGTGTTCCTAAGAAAGGAGGATAACAACATTACAAATTAGAACAATGAGTTGATCTCCACTACAATGGAAGGTTTGTATGGATTATAGAAGACTGAACAAAGCGATAAGTAATGACCATTTTCCCTTACCATTCATTGATAAAATGCTTGATTGACTTACTTGAAGTCACATTATTGCTTCTTTGATGATTATTCGGGATACGAAAAAATTAAAATCAGTCAAAAAGATCGAAAGAAGACAACATTTACATACCCTATGGAATTTTTGCACTTAGGCGGATGCCCTATGGACTATGTAATGCTCTAGCAACATTTCAAAGATGTATGACTACAATCTTTACTTGATTCTGTTAGTGAAAAAAGTGAGTGATTGAATGGTTGATGAGAAGATTATATGATGAAGAGCAAGAATGCTCTATATATATACAGATAATACAAAAAGATATTTAGAAAATCTACTTAAAAATCTGCAAAAAAAAAAAAAAAAAATATGGTAACAAACGAGTAAACAAATAAAAAACTAAATTAAATCAAAACTAAATCAACTCCTAACTACAAGGAGATTTAATCAGATACTAACTGACAGTAATCTAAACAAATACGTGATCTTCAACACTCCTCCTTGTTTAGATGATGTGAACTCCAAGCTTTTTTCTGAACACCCATCTTACTTCAATTATCTTTCTGTTTAGAGGTTGATCAGCCAACTCCTAGGTTTTGTTTTTCTTGATCACCGAAAGCTCCTCCTTTGACAGGTGCATCATCAACCAAAGCATCTTGTCGTTCATCTTCAGACTCTTCTTGTCGTTCATCTTCAGACTCTTCTAGTCGTTCATCTTCAGACTCTTCTAACATGCTACCAAAGATTAAATTGTTTGGTGCATTAGAAATCTTATTCACCTTCGTCAGTTCTTCCCAATTTCATTTCTCATTTTCAGCAAAAAGAACATCTCGGCTCACAATAACACGACTAGTGTGTGGTTGAAAAACTCTATAAGCTTTGCTTATAGTGCTATACTCAACAAATATGCCAGTTTCTGCCTCTTTGTCAAGCTTATCACACTTGACCTGTGGAATGTAAGTGAAGCAAAGACACCCAAATACACTAAGGAACTTTAAAGAAGGTTTGTAACCATACCAAACTTCTAATGGTGTCAGGTCCTTCACAGCTTTTGTTGAAATTCGATTTTGCAAGCACACAACAGTGTTTGATGCTTTTCCCCAAAAACGTTTTGGAAGACACTTTTCAAGAAGTATGCATCTCGTCATCTCCATTATAAATCTATTCCTCCTTTCATTGACGTCATTTTGTTGAGAAGTGTATGGTGTTGTCAATTGATGTTCAATTCCAGCCTCTTCACAAAACCTGTTAAAAGTGTCTGAAGTGTACTCCTTGCCATAATCTGATCTTATAGTCTGAATCAAGCATGCACTTTCATTCTCAACTCTTGCTTTGAATTTCTGAAATACACCTGCAACTTCTGACTTTTGCTTCAGCAAGAAAATCCAACACATTCTTGTTAGATCATCAATAAAAACAGTGTAATAAAGATTACCATTTAATGATGGTGTTCGTTGAGGACCACAAAGATCAGTATAAACCAGTTGCAGCTTTTTCGAGGTTCTCCATGCCCGTTTAGGAAAGAGTTGCCTATGTTGCTTCTCAAAATTACAAGCATGGCAAGGAGGCATGTCATCATCAACGTCAGTGAGTCCTTCTACCAGCTTCTTTGACTGCATCTGAAGCAAACCTTGATGATGAAAGTGCCCAAGTCTTTTGTGTCAAATCTCAGTGGCACTAGTTCTGGATATAAAGGCCATCTGCTCTTTCTCCATCGGATTTAGAACAAAGGTTTTTCCTTTCATTTTTACATTGAACAAGTCTTTGCCATTAGCATCTTTGATCAAGCACTGCGTATTCTCAAACAACACTTTATAGCCTTTATCAAGTAACTGACCAACGCTTAAGAGATTTTGATCAATTTTAGGTACAAATAAAACATTTGGAATAAATTTTATACCTTCATAGCTTGTTATAACTATTGTACCTTTTCCCTTGACTTCCAAGTGTTCACCATTGCCAATCCACACTCTCTTAACTTTAGTGTCTCTTAATTCCTCAAAAAACTTCTTGTCATTTGTCATGTGATTTGTGCACCCACTGTCAATCAACCAGCTCTCGCTTGATTCTTTGCTTTAGGAACAAGTAACAATAAACAATTGATCTTCTTCTTCTTGATCAACTACTTGTGCATCTACTTTTTTCACCTGACCTTTGACTTTACAGATCACAGCTTCATGTCCAAGTTGATTGCATTTGGAGCATTTGGTGTCAGGTCTTCTCCAACACTTGTATGGTGGATGACCTTTCTTCTCATAATGGCGGCAAGGTGGATAGGATTTTTTGAAACCTCCTCCTTTTGTCTTCTGATAATTGGCAGATGAATCTCGATTCGTCAATTGGTTTTTGAAAATTTTCTTGTTTTCATACCTGTTGTTGTCTTGATGCTTAATAGGTAAGGCACCTTCAATCACCCCTTCTTGCCTCATAGACCTCCTCTGCTCGTGCTTGTAAAACATTCAAGAGCTCTGTAAGAGAAATATTTGACAAGTCTTTGGTGTTCTCGAGTAGTAATGGTGGCTTCAAACTTCTTTGGAACAGTGACTAGCAACTTTTCAACGATCCTGGAATCATTTAACACAGAACCAAGCAGTCTCACTTTGTTGGCAATGCTGAGAAGTCTGTCAAAGTACTCTTCCACCGACTCCGACTCCTTCATCTTCTGCAACTCAAAATCCCTAATCAAATTCAGGACTTTCATTCCACGAATCCTCTCATCTCCTTCATATTCAGCCTTGAGATAATCCCAGATTTTCTTTGCTGTTTTGAGGGACATTATTCGCATGAAAATCATTTAAGATACAACGGGAAATAGGCAAGCTTTTGCCTTTGATTTTCTTGTCTTCTTTTTCTTCTGTACTTTGATTTGTGTTATAGTAGGATTTGCTGGAAGCAAAGGGACCTCATAATCCTCTTCTATTGCTTCCCAAAGATCCAAAGCCTCCAGATAAGTCTCCATACGAACTGTCCACATTTGATCATTGTCTCCATCGAAGACAGGTGGTGCAACAGCTGAAAAACTGGATTCTCCTTCCATTTTGATCTCATAGATCCCTTAAGAAGATAGCTTTGATACCAATTGTTAGTGAAAAGAGTGAGCGTTTGAATGGTTGATGAGAAGATTATATTATGAAGAACAAGAATGCTCTATATGTATATACAAATAATACAAAAAAAAACATATTTAAAAAATCTACCTAAAAATCTGCAAAAAAAAAAAAAAAAAAAAAAAAAAAAAAAAAAAAAAAAAAAAAAA